CATTTATTTTTCAATACCAACCAAACACAAAGTGATCGTAAACGGATTATGTAAACATTCGAAGTTGTGCTTACACTCTAAAATTATCCAAGTTAAAACTTTCAGATAAGATAAAAATGATAAGTATGACAAGTCTAAATGAAAACTAAAAAGGTATAATCGACAAGATAAAATTATAACGACGCAAGAAAATAAAAACAGAAGAACACCATACAAACAATGATAAAAAAATTAACATAAAAAGGCATAAAAATACAAAAACTAAAAACAAAACATCAACCACAAACAAAACCATAACAAACAATATATTCAAAATTTAAATACAGATTTACCTGTTTTCAAAAGGCAACAACCGTCTCCTAAAAAAAGATTGCGCGAAAAACTGAGACTCCAGACAGAGAAAATGAAGGTGAGTGGAAAACTTTAAGATTTACTTTTACTTGTTATAATAACATACTATTTCATTCGGATTATAATTCCGTGAATTGACGTAGATTGGTGACATTGGTTATATTTGCCTAGAAACGAAAATTGTTTTAAAAGTAATATCCCTTTATCCCAACTAAAAATTTTTAAATGAAATATTTATGATGTTCTCGGTGAGACAAAATGTCATGGAAAGTAATAATTTCACCAAACCAATTATAAGGTAATCTTGTTTGAAATGTTCATATTCAATAATCTAATTCATATATTTCAAATTGAGAACTTTACTGGCCTATACTTGCCATTAGGTTTAGGAACAATAAATAATGTTGATATAAATTGATCACTATCCCACTCAGATTTAACGATAGCACCTTTCTCTAGGAGACTTTTTACTTCATTAGTTATAATATCAAATTGTTCTTTATCAAACACTATTTCTTGGGGAATTTTAGATTGAAAAACTGGCCTATGAAGCTCTTTTATTACCTAAAACTGTGAATGTTTTCCAGGTATCTACACAGGCTCTCAGTTTACCACTGTTAGAAGAATGAGAATTACTGACCCTATCAACTTTGGGATGCTCTTGTCATTGGAGAGTGGAAGTAACAGTACTTGGTGGAGTCTGCTGATTTTTTGGGACGACTGAAATAGTTCTTATTTTCATAACTTCTGTAGTTATTATAATTATTATTATAAGTATAAGGTTGATACCTTCTTTGACCTCTATTGGTTTAAGCGATTTAATTCTCTAACTTTACTAAAGTTATTTCTATTAAAATATCCACGGCCTTGTTTTTGAGCGACACCATACCGATTAGCCTTACTCAAAATCCCATCCCCAAGAAACCATGGGAGTCTTTTCTTTACCTAGACTTGCATACTTTATATCAAGCAAAAAATCGACAAATTATATTGAACTTATGAAAACGGTGATTACATCCGAAAATAGCACCTTAGCTTCCTCATTTGAAAAAATTTCAAAATTTCAGTCAGCTAGATGATATATACCATCCTTATAGCATTTAAATGCTGGATTTCTTTAAATCCTTTATCAACGCCATGATGAGATTTTTCTATATCA